AGCCAGCATGGCTGGCTGGGGAATTCTGGGAGTTGAAGTCCACGCATCTTAAAGTGGCTGAGGTTGAGAAACACTGGATCAGACACTTGTCAGGAGTAGGTTTTGGGGTTCACTGAAACATCTCGAAGAACCAGCTCGAGAATTTCAAGAATGGCAACAAACACAGCCAGTCCAGCGTAACCGAGTAACAACACAAGATCAGAGGCATGTTGAATCAATCGATAACAATCCAAGCACTTTGCCCTTTCTGCCGAGATAACAGCCCTTATTCTATTTGCAAACCTAAACACTGTAGTGGTTTTTGTATGCTAATTGGATAATGTCTGTTACCACAATCTGGCGGTACTGGTGATAGTGGGGCAACTGTCAGTGTCTACTTTGAGGGTACCCTAAGTGCTTTTGTTGGTAACTCAGGAATTACAATTGAATGTGTCTTAACTAAATTGGTTGTAACCTTTTCTTTCTGTACTGTTGTTTTTTTCAGCTGGTCAGGGTATCACATTTTAGTGTGAGATGAGTGCTCAGCTGGTTTGGGCTGTTTGTCGTGAACACTTTTCTGATTAGGTTTCAGAAGGTCCATCCTTGAAGGTAAAAACCACATCATTGGCATATGATTTCTTGTTGCATATACTGTGTTGAAATATACAAATAGAAAATGTGTAAACTTCTGATTGAGTGTGATATTTTTCCCAGAGGTCATTCACAAAGCAATTTAGAAACTCTGAACTAATCTTTCAGCCACTTCATTTGTAGCTGGGTAATATGGTCCTGATGCTAAATGAGTCTGTCTTTTTAGGAATGTCTGAAAGTGTTCAGCTACAAATTGTGCCCCGTTGTGAGTCACCAAGTGTTCGTGTTCTGAAACATCTGTTATTACAGTCATATATCTGGAGTATGCAAGGCTGTTGTTAAAACCTTTGAAAATATCTCCATGAGAACTAAAAAGTTCGTGCCCATGAAAGTCTATGTATATTTATTGCCATGGCAAGGCAAGCCATTCCCAAAAGTGGTGGTGTTTTGGGCATCTCTTGGACACATGTTGCAAGTTGTTCAATTTGTTGGTGTATTCCCAGCCACCAAACAAAACTATAAACCTTTATCTTTTAAATTTCAAGATGCCCAATTATTAGTTCCTCCAACACTTGAACACTCAGCTTGGATGGTAGGGCATCAAGCCTTATGTAATACAATGGCTGTCCAGTGTAAGTTCATCGTGATGCTCATAAAATTCCATAAACTGGTATTTTTGCTGTGTAGACGTGAGACAGTGTTGGGCCTCTCCTAGTGTCTCTGTGAATAATCTCAGGTGTGATAGGAAGACTCAGTCTCTTCAATAGAAAAAAGGTCAAAGAAATTCCCATCTCACATAGGTTTTTCAGATTGCTTACTCTGTAGAACTAAAGGAGACAATCCATCAATGTTTACATGATCGTGTGTCCCTTTAGTTCTGTTTTGCATTTGCGCCTTCCAAAGAGTAAAGCCCACCATTTCTGAACAGCTGCTATAAGCAGAATCCCTTTTTGTGGATTGAAGATTGCTAGTAGTGGTTGTTGATCAGGGATAAGGGTACATTACCTTCCATACAAATACTGGTTGAAACTTTTAACTTTCCAAACCAAACTCCATACTTCCCTGCCTATTTATGCCTAATTTTGCTCTGCAGATGTGAGTGAGCGCGATGCAAAAACTACTAGTCATTCCTTGCCAGACATTCTTTCTGATATGCTATAATTACACTGAAGCCATATTGTGAGGCATCACAAGCCAGTTTCACTGGTAAGTTCAGGATATGATATATGAGCACTGTGTCTAATGTGGTGGGGATGATGATTTCCTCCCATGAGAGCTTGTTTGCACTGTTTTGGCCAGGGCCATTGCCTCCCCTACTTACAGTAAAGTGTTCAAGGGATATAGCACAGTGGCTAAATTTGGCAGGAATCTGCTGACAACCCTAAAAAAGAGTCATAGGTGTTTGTGGCCTTGGGGCATTCACAACTGTTTGAATGTTTTCTGCACACTTGTGTAGGCTTTATGTGTCAACAGCTGGACTGCACTTTGTAATACCTGGTATAAAGAAATCAGATTTGTTGCATTGTGCTCAAAGGCTGTAGTCCACCAATCTCTGCTTGAGATTTTATAGATATACTTCACCCTTTTCTCCAGTGTCAGTGACGTCATCTAAATAGCACAGGGTGCCTAGACTGACGTAGTCACGGCTTTCTACCAAAGCACTGATGCTCATACTATCCAGAACCAAGTCTGTTATAATGATAAAACCATTTGTGTGAATCTATGAGGAACATCTTGGAATCTACCACTAGTTCCATCTGTAGCTAAGGTTCTGCTAGGTCTGTTTGGTCGAAACATTCCCCCTGCCCACCCTGTGCTCCAAGATTAGTAAAGCAATCCTCAATTTTAGCCCACAGTTGTTGCTCAAAGTGTAATAGTGGATTATGGTAATTTGAGAATCACCATAGATCCTGATAGTTCCATTCTTTTTAGTAGTGGGACCAAGGGCTCCCATCAGCTTTGCCTCTGATCCAAGTCACTCTCTATTCTTTGTGTATGGCTTCTGGAATTGGATACGCTTATGGTATTTTTTGTAACAGTATTTTTATGTGCTTGAGCATGCCAGTGCCATCTTTGAAAACACGTGCAGCATCATTAAATATCTTCTTCAGCTTATTGTTAGTGGTCTCCATGTTAAGAAGCAGAGTGCAGAGTGCTGATGGAACTCCAATCCAGCAGCCATTTCTATAGCCATACTAACCCAGAGTCCACCAAATACTGTTGGTCCACCTACAGTATTTTCACAACATACATGTCTAACATATCTTGCCAGTTTTATATTTTAAAGTTACAGGTATCACTCCAATGGGAATGTTCTTTTCTCCAGTATCAGAATTAAAATATATGTACCTCTGGCTTTAGTTTATGCGAAATGCTACTCAAATTTATGTTGTGATAGAACTGATAAAGCAAAACCAGCATCTACTTGCGTTGATATGGTTTTGCCATTCACTTCTAGTGTGAGCCATAAATACACACAAAGGATTATATCATTATAACAGACTCAGTTTTGGAGTAGCATCAACACCAATTCTTTGGCAAAGAGCCATAAATCAAATGCTACCAGGCTTTTGAGACACCCAGTGCTTTTTAGATGACATCATTCCCACTAGAGAAAATGAATCCTGTTCTTAGGGTGTATCTGATGTTCAAGGTTGGATCGTCTCAAACCTAATTTGAGAAGTGTTCAGGATAAATGGCTGAGCAATCTTCTCTCACTGAAGCAAGATACATTGACTACCTCTCCTGAAGAAGACAGAGGAACAAAAAGAAGTCACAGCTGATGTGATTGGATACTCAAACAGTAATACTCAAAGTTACCATCAGAAGAATCTCCTCCCAAAGTAGACCCACAACTGGTGTTTGTTCCACTGTCCCCCAAGAGTTCCTGTTTGTGGTGACAACGTTATTCACACAGAGAAACCACCACAATGCCTTCATTTATAAATATAATCAGGTCTATATCTTGGTGGGAAGGGGCATAATATATTGGGTTACTGTTATTATGCATCAGTTAAACATCCCTGTAATCTACTTACTGAGTTACCTTGAGTATCTTGTATGTTGTTGTTGTTATTATTATAAATTTATTATGGTCACCCACTGCAGAAGACTCTGGGTGGTTTACAGTATCCAAACACACAATTAAAAAGTTAAAAAAACATGAAAACAAGACATGGCGGTCTGGACTAAAAACATCCATAATAAAAACACAACAGGGGCTCTACGGACACATTAACCCCTGGCCTGGGAACAAAGCCAGGTTTTAAGGGCCTTCTGGAGCCCCAGAAGAGTGGGGGCCATGCATATCTCTTGGGGAGATGCTATTCCAGAGGGCAGAGGCAGTGACAGAGAAGGCACGCCTCCTCAGTCCCAGAAGGTGAGGACATTTAATGGAGGGGACCCACTCTGCCCAAACTTACTGTTGCAGACTCACTAGAGTGAGTTCTTCTAGAACAGTGTTTCTCAACCTTGGCAACTTGAAGATGTGT